ACGTGATATATTGAAATTTAAATCGGGTAATTCGTGGAAATAATAGATATTACGTAGCATGTTGTGCTGCCGTACAAACTAAGTTTTGCCATAAGTAACATTCGGTTCGAAATTTTAGAAAAGTGCGAAGGCGTAGAGATTCTGAGTGCAGTGTAATGCTATTCATATTGGAGTTACCGGCATAGGCAAAGACGGTGGTAGGAGCTACACAGCCGTCTCCTTTCCGGAATATTTTAGCCTTCGTTTTATCTCGTGGATTTTTGATTGAGAGAACTAGGGCCATTAGGCGGAAATCCTCTAGGGGAGGATCGTTGCTCATTACCATGGGCAGTTTTGCTTGGGTAACTTCGGGCCTGAAGGCATAAGCAAGAGCTTGATCCTATTTAGATGTTGTAACGTACTCGTTGATCATCTGAAATAGATTTGGCAAGAATTTACTCGTGGAAAAAGGGTAGAATTTCTGCAGCGATGCAAATTTATACTAAAAATTTAAAAGCGAAGAAAACTTGGCAAAAATTCAGCATATCTCTGTTAAACGTTTCGGAGTTCAGCTCCATGGTCAGTTCAATATAACTAGAACACAAATACAATCAGAAGTTGATAAAGTTTGGATACGTTGTAATTCTCTTTCTAATTACGTTGAAATTACTAAACCCAATCGCTGAAAATGGTTGAAAAAGTGAAATTCTTAAGATTTGGAGATTAGAATGAAACTGTTCAGAGATTCATCCCATTTTTTGAGATATTATAAATTCAGGAACAAAAAGCACTACGAGATACGCAAAGAGATTATCTAGTAGGGAAAGTTTGAGTTGAGCTTCGTTGTATTTAATCGCTTTAAGACTTTGAAAATAAATTAACTCTTGGTATTCAAAGTAATTGGCAAATGAATATTGATTTAGGCGCGGGTAAAGAAATAACCCAATAATTTAAATTTGTGGAATAACTTGTTAATACGATAGGCAATTACTGTACTTACAGAACGTCAATGTAAAGTGGTAGGTGAGGACTAAGTTTACGTCAGTGAACTATACTCGGCGGCAGGGAAGGACTACGTTCACGTCAGTGAATGTCAGAAATGTGAAGTGAGCAGGTGCGACTTCGTCCACAGGGCAGGTTGAGCCTAGGAACGAAGATCATGAAATGTGGAGACGTCACTTCAGGACTATGTGTTAACGAACTTGGATATTTTAGTAATTATGACACAGCATGTCTTGCTGCAATATGAATTCTGAGTTTCATTGAGGACTTTAATTAACATACAATTATATAATAAATCATTCAATGGAGTTACCATATTAAGCTTGTCTGTACCGAAGCTGCTGCCATTAAGATCCGTTTGCGCAGGAGCTGCCTCCCCCCTCTTCATGTTCCCTACCGATATAAAATGTTCCCTCTTCATTTTGTGGTCGTCACGGGCGACAGTTTCATTTCCTTTTAACCACACGAATGATTCGATATAAAGTTCCAAATTGGTCCTCGTTATTGGTGCTACTGCTTATTAGATATCTATCCGTAAAATATAAGGTTATCACATGTCGAGATAATGAAAAAATTAATGAATGGCAGTGCAGCTGGTCCTTAGCTCTCCACAAAATTTCTCCGCTTCATCCACTTCAATCGTCTGACTCTATCCTCCTCTTCGTGCGTTGAGCTGGAAAAACTGCCGTGAATATGCACGACGTTCTTGCTGTTGGTGAGATTCCTTCAGCGCGGCTTCAGGAAATTGTACCAGCTGAAGAACCCGCACGTTGAGCGCACAAAAAAGCCTTTTGGTGTCGTCTTTCGGCTCGGCGTTAGCAGTCATGTACGTTGCCATACGTACTCGTTTCACTGACTTGCTCGGGGTAGCCACAGGGTTTCGTGCAGCCCTCGTTGGAAACTTGACAAGTTTCAGCGTTGTTGGAATTTTCTTGGGCCTTAGATGAGATATATGACTAGTCCGCTTGTGCTCCTGCAGTCGCTCACAATTTGTACTAGCCGGCTAAAACGAAGTCAATTCCTCTCTGAGCAAGTTCCCGCATGATGTCTTTAATAATCTTGACATGATCGATGTCCTCAGTCTGTGAAAAGCGTTAAAGTGAGAATAAATGTATGATTTGAAGTAGATGAGTCACTGGCCGACGCACTTGAAGACAATGTTAATATCCGCGTTCTGCGATTCGTTTATGAGGCCACGTCACCATTGCGTTTAAAATTCATCTTGTTTAAATGAAGAAAAAATATCGCTATTATTAGTAAATAGCTGTGATTTGGAAAGATGTTTTGACGTGAACCCTAAAATTCAAGCTATTTCTGCACTTGGATACCACGTAAAAATGTCATAGATTTATAATGGTAAAGAGTTTCTCAATAAGATTGTTTCTAATATACAAGTTACATTTTGCTAGATTAAACGTCAATTGTTGAAATATTCAAGTACATGGAATATTTATACATTCATTTTCAACGAGAATTGGAGTCAGATCAATCTAAATTCGTGAATAAATAATTCGGAGACTTCAGGGCCTTGACAGGGTGGAAGACGGATGTGACCCGCCGAACCCCTACGCCTAAAGATTAGGTTGCCTTTCGCGTAAAGCTGGAAAAATATAATATTAAAACAACAATTGATAGAGAACTTCCTGTATAAAAAGAGGACTAGGCTAAGAAAACAATAAATTCCTTTGTTCGCGCTAAATTGAATGACTAGAAGTAGGTGGTGACTAGTCTTATAAAGCGCAGCTAGAACAAGAAAACATTTAGAACAATTGATAGAGAATTTCCTGTATAAAAAGAGGACTAGGCTAAGAAAAAAACAATAAATTCCTTTGTTCGCGCTAAATTTATTGACTAGAAGTAGGTGGTGACTAGTCTTATAAAGCGCAGCTAGAAGAAGAAAACATTTAAGATGTTTTCTCCTTGCATCGGGTTAAATGGATCCTCAGGTTAAATAAAGGTTCTCCTTCACAAAACTACAATAATATAAATGTAAGCAATAATCTCTGAATTATTTATATCCTTGAATAATATAACCTTGAATAATGAAATAGCTTGAATATTCAGATCAGCGAATAGATGTAACGTTTTTGACTGAACTGAAACTGCCGACGGCTTGAAATAGCTAAATTTTTGTTCTAAACCGCTAGAAAACCTATATCACAAATCTTCTACTGGAACAGCACTGTGAACAACAATTGAAGCAGCTGCTGGAACGACAGCCGATTGAACATAAATTGTGTGGTCAATAAATTAATTTGGCACCGAGTACGAAAATGGATCATGAAAACTGTGAATACGTATGGGATTAGGTATAAATTTGCATTCTAGGCGTCGTCTAGCATGCACCATTCTGTACTGACCAAGAAAAAGCCATTATGTTCTCAAGACGGCGTATTATTTAGCATGACTGGATTCTAACCTGATGATCGGCGCTTTTCAAAACGCACCCGCGTGTGCGTTTGTTTAAGTGTGAAATATGAAAACGCTAGATACTGATGAACTTCCTTTTCGATGATAAGATGAATTTTAGTATTAAATTTTGTTTGTCATGTACTTGATAGATATTGATCTTGAATGATAGTTACGGCTTCAGGGACTGTATGAAATGCATACTAGCCGCCCGTCTCCTGTGGCTATGAAACAGGGGGATGACGCTCGTTAAAAATGGAAGAGCATTAAACTCAGGACTCTTCAAGTATTAATCTAGCAATCCATGACAAAAAGATATCCTAACACGTAACGGAAACGTTGGTTATGTGTAGTGAGCACCCGGCAGATCTTTCGAAGCAACGGTTTTAGTACTAAGTAGTTAAGAGTATTCATTATGGTCGTATCAAGGCTGGAAGGAATTAATCTCTAATTCAAATATTGACAATGGCACAGTTTTCAAGCAGGTGTACAGAATACTTGAGATGGGAGTACATATTCTACCGCATGGCAAGCGGGCGTTGTTTCATTTAATTTTAGGGTGTACGATGATTTAGCTAGAAACTTTCATAGTATATCTTATCTTGAGGATCCGTCTTAATATAACTGGTGCAAGTAGTTTGTTGCCGCGAAATAAACTTTTTACGAGTCGGAGGTAGCGGAATGATCCATGCCTAGATTTTAACTTATATCCCACGTTAAGCAGGAAGACATTTATCATTGCTCTTCGAGGGCGCTAATACCTTCGTCGGTGCTGCGCCGTATCTTAACCAAGTAAGTATTGCTCTTCGAGGCTTTGGCGACCAAATACTGACGATCCGCTGCTACCGACTATTCAGTTCTATTGATTCTATGGATGTTGATAGTACTGTTGAATGAATGCATTTATCCTCAATAATACCAGTAAGTAAATCGGGTCTGATGAACTACCATTACTCGTAAATTTTCTGTCCTATTGGTTCAGTCAGCACACGAGATGAACACAACTTGTTTACTTCATGTTAATATGCCAAAATGAATGAAGCCATTACTCGCTGCGACAAGATGTTCTAACTAAATATTTAGTTTTAGATCTGCTGCAGATCCGGATACAGTGCTTGCAATTTGCCACGCATATTCGTAGTTCAAGACATTTTCAACCATCGGTACATTGACTGTGTCGACCATTGCAGAACTACGTACCGTAAGGGTACGCACACAGTGAAAGCAGGTTTGCCCGCGCGGGCAACCTGCTCCAACCTGCCACAAGAATGAACATACAGAACATAGGATAATAATGTAAGTGTTCACAGTGAAAACCTGTGCGAATAGGCTTCTGTCACCTATATATGGTTTCAGGCGCCAGCCTGAGCAGGTAACCAGCACGCTGACAACCTGCTTTCACTGTGATGCGTACCCTAAAGCGAGATGTAATAATGCCTGATGTGGTATTTCATGTTTGCTTGGAAACCGCTCGTTCTTGCTATAGTTTCCCCTATAACCAGAAATAAATAGGTCATCGTTATTAGTTGAGCTTCGCGTAAACAATCTTGGCATTTTTGTTGCAACAGTTGCTGGATTCAGAGTTGCTTTTTGAGGTTTAGTAGGCCGGGAATCATCAATCATTTACTAAAGAATAATCAAACAAATAATTGTTGGCACCATTTTAGGTATTGGCAATAAAATGTGGATATTCCTGCATTGTTCTGTTCTTCACCTGGTACATCCGACGCGTCCAGGTGAAGACTCATACTGAGACGCCTAAGGGTCCAAAATTTTCTGTGTACATATAGTGACGTTCGTTGTAAGATGGGCAGGTGGCAGATTGTGCTGTTCGATTGCGTTTCGTAAATAGCCACCCGTGAACAGACGAATGCGACGTTTGGGAATCGAAACGAGGGAAATTCGTCTTCCGGAGAAGGGGCAACTCTGTATAATGAATTTTAATGCGCAATTTATCTTCAGAGTGGTTCAACAGACTGTAGATGGGACGAATTCACATGTTAATTCCAAAAGAGAGACAAGTTCGTAATAAATTACTGTCGAAGTTCTACGCTCATATCAAGTTGTTTTTCACTTAGTTTTGAGATTATACGCTTCTTTATAAAGGGCTCGTGAGCCCTGCAGCGTTGTTGATAGTGACGGCCACTTCTAGTAGTTACACAATTTACAAAAAATAGATAGCCAGCGGTAGTTGATAGCATTTATTGGTTTCGGTTTCTAGCTGGATATTCAGGGCCTGCCAAAACAGCCATTGCCTTTGTAACAATAAAACCAGAGATGTATTGTTGAAATTTTGAATAAAAAGTCAAGGCTGGCCGAACTACTCGTTAAGTAGCGAGCTCTAAGGGCGAGAAATCCCGTACGCGTGGTCCCAAATCAGAGGACTTCCACCGGACAGCAGCTGGGGCGGATTCATTTCTGTGCGCCAGAATTACCTAAATAAATTATTAGTTTGCTGAAAGTTTTCCTTGTACCACTATATAGATAGAATGAATAGTTTCCTTCCCCTGAAAAGGGAGGTTGCGTTCAAAGTTCTGTTCTATGATCGTTGTCCATATTTTAAAGCTGAACTATTAATTCCAGTATAGTCTCATTAAGTCTATATTTGAAAGTGGGAAGTGTAATGGTTCATGGTTTCTCTATTTTTTTCTTCCTTAAAACAAGCCATATGAATTTAACACTATCCACCGGCCATCGGATTGTATAAGTGCTACGAGCTCAGGCGTCTGTCTCAAGACGACCGCTAGAAAAACAGCGCCATGGTGTGGAGGAATGGGAGTCGGCTTAATTTGAATGGTATGCTAAGTTTACGAGCAGAAACAAGTATGTTGAGCCATTAGGACCTCTAGCAACCGGAAATAATATGCAAACGGGGAATCAAATTTGAAAAATCAAAAAGCTCAGGTATTTTGACACAATGATTGAAATTCATGTTGCACCAAGCGGAAGTAACTATAAAAGCTCAATTTTCGAATTGAACTGTATACGAGCAAGTAGTGGACATGTATTGGATCCTTTATTCGCTCAATATATAATATAATGGATTGGTATTATTCGCTCAATATATAATTAAAGATAACTGACATGCGCCAGCAGCTGCTTATGACAATTTGGATATTCAATATCTCGTGCACTTTCGGATAGTGAGCATAATATGCTGATTTAGAGAGAAGAGCGAAAACGTGTCATTTTGTAGCATATACCAAAACCCCCATTTAATCAGTCCATGGTGATTTAGGTGGTGATTCTATGTATTGGTCGTGTTAAGAAGATTAAACACAAAAGTTTTTTACAATTTGAAAGCTAACTACAGCTACGTTCATGTGGGCCGTACGACCAAAAGATTAACTTCATTTTTTTTAGAACAGGTCTGTGCATTAGTCTCTTGGTCTATAGGCAAGCTTTTTATCTGCAGGCACACGAGCTCCCGCCAAATTAACTATGGCTGTCGTGGTGATGTCGACGCCGTGCGGGGGGCGCACGTCGAAGTGCTGGACGATGGCGGCGGTGAAGAGGAACAACTCCATGCGGGCCAGCAGCTCCCCCACGCACTGACGACGACCTGGCGATGGCAATTTGTGTGATACAAATTCAGTTTCAATGGATAAATGACAAACAAATCAATACTTGGAATTTCGGCACATGAACTGGCGAAAACACTGGTGAATGGCATTTATGACCTTGTAAGAGGAATTTTGACAATTGAGCGCAGAAGCAATTTAAACTTTTTCATCCGTTATGGGGGACCTTCGATCAGACATAAAGCCAAATTGTGAAACTAGGAAATTTCCATTCCGCTTGTCATTCAATGCCGGTGGGAAAGGGAGCTTTCTCGTGAGAATCTTATAAAAATTCTTAAACACTCGGATGAATTTGCGTGAATGGAACTCGTACATGAATAAAAATTCCCCGCAATGAAGGGTCTCTTGTACAATTCTCACCAGAACCGAAGGCGAAGAAGCCCTGCTTGGGGGCCGTGTACTTGGTGGCGCTGTCGTCCAGGAATCGTTCAGGGTAGAACTTGTGGGGGTCGTCCCAGTACCGCGGGTCGTGGTGGATGGAGTAGTTGGCTGCTTGCACGGTGGTGCCCTGTAATTAAATGTAAAACAGGAGGTAGAGAGTTTCGTTCTGCCGGTTATTCTCTGAACCCGGATTTATTCGTTTCACAATTTTTCAACTAGAGGTACTCTTTAATAATAAGTATTTGTTAACTCCATAAATGGCCTCTGAACTTACGGCGAGAATTACCGTAATAATCGTTGCTAAAAAAAAAAAATTGAAGCAGTTCAAAAATTAAGGAATGTTTCTGAATTGCCGAATGCTCCACTGAATTGTTTGCAATTCTTTGCGCCATGATCGTCAAATTAGTGTCCTGCAGGTTCTCTGTCTTACGTATGTGTAAGAGAACAGTGGAGAGATTCAAGACCATGATATTCTCCCACTTATGCCTTGATTAGTTCTTATTTTGAGTTGACTAACGATGACGTGGATCAATTCTGCTCTAGAGTGAAATGAATCATAATGGGAGTAAAATTCTAGAATAGCTCTTAGAAGAACTAAACTTAGAACTTAGAACGAACTTAACTAAATTCACAGTATTTAAAATTCATTGGTGGCGCTTGATTTTTTACAGATGTTGCCACCCATCGTTACGCCACCTATAATCTACCATCGCCACCTAATTACCATCGGTGCATTTTATAAAATTGAGATCTTCCGCCTTGCTGGCGATGTTAAATTTTTACCTCCCGTGCAAAATATCTTCATATCTGAATCGCTGGCACTCCATGCATCCTATCTACTACTATTTCCTTAGATGTACCGGCATTGCATTGTCTTCTGTTTGCAAATTGGGGCTTTCATTTCAATGATGTAAATTTCAATCGCGCTATTTGATTATGTTAAATTCTGCAATTTTTGTACTATTGCAATTTTTGGTTTGACAAATTTTTGTGCTATTACTTTACATTTAAATTAATTAAAATATTTGATCTCGATAAATAATATAAATATTTGATCTCGATAATTAAATTAATTGAAAATATATTTGATCTTGACTCAAGCAATCGAAATCTAATATTTTTCACTCCGTTACTGTGGTGGCCTGAGGTTTAAGGTTTGTATTCAAAGCCGCCCGAACTCCACAGCGAGCTTGCTCGAGTTTGCTGCCGAGACGCGTGAGGGCTGGTTATCTTACGTCTGGCCGACGAGATGCCGTAAGAATGCGTGCTTGCTCAGGCCGTGTAGGGCTGGACCACAGTACAAGCTCACAACAGTGCCGTCATTTTATAATGATGTGCCGTCATTTTAAATCTTTTTCTATGTTATTTATTTAATTTTTCCGGTTCAAGCAAGGACGTGATTATTGTAAAATTTATCATGGCAAAAAATAATTTAGGCTTTGATACCCATTCTTTCAACTGAATAACATATTTTACTTAACTTGTGATAAATAAAGTGAACAAATTATATTAACAGAATACAACTTGCATGTGCATAGACCAATTCAGACCAATAGTTAGCTCGTAACGATAGAGCCACACTGGCTTCGATGTTTGTAGCATGGGCATGGAGAAAGAAAGGGAGATTGTGGCACCGCAGTGAGGATTGTTAGAGGGGATAGATGCGCGGGGGAATTTGTGAGGGTTTCACACACTCATGTCTGACACCCCTACTCTCGCCACATCGTCAAAGAAATACCGATGTCTTTCACTGTAATATGAGCTTAGACTTCAAGCCAAATAGGCTGGCTGTTTTCGCGCAGTTACATGCTCATCTTCATCATATAAATACATCACATTCAATACCTAAATAATTTCGATGATATTTAATTCATAGAGTGCAAATTTCTGAACGAAAAACATATTGTCACTAGACTATTAATTATTTTCTCTTTATATAGATACGTCGAGGGAAGGTAACAGAAATGCGACGAAATGTTAACTTTTACTGTTAATCAAGATTTATCAATCTACAGAGACAGTAATTCAGACTGTACAGAGACTAAAAGTTTACTTACAGAGACAGCGATAAGCGCCGGCGCTTACATAACAAAAGCGAAGTGTCCGTCTCCTTGGAGATGGAGACAGAAGAGGGAAGTTGGTAACCGCAGTAGGGGTTTTTGAGAGGGGGAGGGAGGGAAGGTTAAAATTGTTAGGCTCTTTGTTCTCATATGGTCGAGGCTCGCTCGACTGAATACACAATGACCCTTCTTTTCACTGAGATGCCAAATTTTTTTTGTAAGCCTTCTAACGCTGAAGTTTCCCGCTCCCGCCCCCACACTATGGCATGAATCGTGTCACTCAAGCCATTCATTATTCTGTGGGCGACCAACTGCTTGCTTGTTGTTTTTCTCAATTTGCATACAGTCCCGAAATTCGAAGCGGTTAATCTTTTTCTACGTTCATTATGCCATGATGAACAATTACTTTCTTGAATTGTTGAACACTCAAGGGTCTGAATTTGATGTTCATTCAGGGACAAAGTTTGAATAAAGTTACTTTTAGCTTCATCTGACACGGTAGCGAAAGCGTTGCTCTTATAACCGAAAGCTCGGCCTTGTCTTCTTTTCAACTCCTTTTCCTTGCCTTTCAACTACTTGCCTCCTTTTCAACTTGACATCCTTTTCAACTTGATTTTGTTGTTTCCTGCGGAGCAAAGAACAACATTGATACAATATTGAACCAAGACTTGTAAATCGGTATTACATAATCGCAAGCATTAATATTTACCATCAACATGATAATGGCAGGAAACTTAAAGAGATAAATTAATTTTAAACTGTCATTTTATGTATTACTCACTTATGTTGTTATCTTGATATTTTCATAATAAGCAATAAAATGTGATAAATCTTACCTCCATCTTTTTAACTGTAATCCCCTATTGATTCGGTATGCTGAAAGACACAGTCTTGGGCTTTTCGTTTGCTTACGAGAGAATCGCATGTTGTCACAAGGGTTCTCGCCAGCGAACTAACAATGGAGTGTTGTAATTTAAACGCGCTAGCCCTTTAACACAAGGCCGTAGGAGGGAACACGGGAGGGTGGGAGGGTAGGCAGTGCAGCCTGTCTACCTCCATGCGAGGTGGGGTAGAGGATGTCTTCCCCTCTACCCTCTATGGGGGTAGACAAGGGTAGCCACTTCAAGCCTGAGGTTTATGAGCGTACGACACTTTCAACCTGCTCAGCGCGAGCATCCAATGAAAATGTGAAAAGTCCCGTTTAGCAGTGATGCAAACATTTTTTGGTTGTGAATATTTACAAAATGGATGTTGATTCTGACATGTATTTAGTAACATCAGATAGAGAATAAATAGTACTACACGTTAACGTCTCAAATATTTCGATAAGACCCCGGTTTAATTAACATCGAGGTACAAAATTATCATCTATCATAACTGGTGTTATACAAAGCTTACATATTTTTTGTTCCTTTACACGGATTGTAAATAAATACCTAGATAAGTATGGAAAATTTCAGATCGTCATCTCATTTACGAGTGGAGTAAAGTTCACCCTAATTAGTGAAGAACTGCTTAGGAACCTGTCCGGGACCTCGCGGCTCTCAAGCACCACCTTAAATGTTCCCTGTGTGAATTTAGTTTTTCTAAAATATTTTGATGACCTATTTGAAATTTCGAACTGATTATGAAGCTGGGCTCCAAATCGTTGCCATTAAATATATGTTGCTTCGTTTCGTCGTCTTCCTTACTTCGCTGTGCATTTTATCGAATCAAGATTAAAGCGATTTTAGTATATTTATAAGAAATATTGCTTAAACATTGCAATGTATTCTTACCACACCGATCTTGTGACTGATTATATTTTGTCATCTTATAGCGAAGTATACAATATATTAGTTTTGTAAGCCTTCGTTAAATTAGTTGACCTAAATTCACCTTGGGGATGAAGTATCCTTTGAAGTTTGTATCACGGGTGGCTGTCCTTTCAACGTTGTACACCACCATGGATGAGTACCGCAAAGCTTCGACCGTGAATGCCTCAACCAAAGGCAAGCTTGATGGGAATTGCAAAGTATTATTGGTACTTTTGTTCGATGACTTTTAACATTGGAATTCAGCTAATTTGAATACGAAATTTCTCTGATATAAAAACCAAGTGATTGTTTCGCCTTCTAATTGTCAAACATAATTTCAATTATTTTAGACTTAGTGTTTCAGAATAGTACCTCGACGAATAATAACACGTGTACAAACTTGTGCATGAGTTATATTATTGGACCATGCTTAACCACGTTACCTCTAAAACGTGTTATGTTACGAAATAAATAGGTAGTACAACACCATTGCTTGCAAAAAAGTTGAAAAAGATACCTCGGTTTGTCATCGAGCGACACCATGCGGTCCCCGGACACGACAGCGTCTATTTGCTGCTGCATCCTCGTTGCGTACTCTGGATACCGGGCGAGCAGGTAGGCCACCCACTTCAGCATGTGGTTCACCGTGTCCGAGCCCGCGAAGAAGAGGTCGTTAACAATTTGGTTCAGCGCTGAAATTAGAAAAATTCCATGATAGATTGTCGATTGAGATGGAGAGTTTTCATCCAGTGGGTGCAAAAAGTATCCGACCCAAGGGAGAAAGTTCATTTAATTAAACCTTATTCGACAAAATAACATGAATAAACACTATTTCTAATGTAAATTTATATGGGAAAAACAAATATTAAATCAATACTACAATTTCATTAAATGTTGACGTGATAATTGCAATTTCGTAAAAGTTGAGGTTCAAAAAGTATCCAACACATAGGAAACAAATTTGCTCAATACTTCGTCATGGTGTCTTGAGCAGCCAAAACTGCTAACCGATTGGAATACTTGTTCACAAGATTAGAACATATGCTGATAGGAATTTTAGCCCAGTCTTCTTTGCATATTTGAATTGGATAAGATTTCTTGAATCTCTCTCCTGAACTCTCAATTCAAATTCTTGCCACAGATTTTCACTCCGATTGAGGTCAGGTGTTTGGCTTGGCCATTCCAATAACTCAATGTCCTCCTGAAACCATGCAAGAGTTGCCCTATCAGTGTGCTCAGGGTCATGGTTTTGTTGGAATATCCAACCTCGAGGCAAGTGAAATTTTTCGGCTGACTTCACGAGACATCTCTCAAGAATGCCCCGATACATTTCTGAGTTCATCCTTCGTTCTATGATTACCAATCCCCTAGGGCCGGCAGAAGAGAAACAACTCCAAAGCATTATGCTGCCACCTCCAAACTTTACTGTTGGGACGGTATTCTTCGGGTGAAACGCAGAGTTCTTCTATCTCTGATCATGACTGACACAGTTCCGATCAAAAAACACAATTTGGTCTCATCTGACCATAATATTTTATCCCAAAAGCTTGAAGAACTTTGCTTTAAACAAAAGCTTGAACCAAATCTTTGTTAAAGAACACGCACGTGTTCTTTAACAAAGCTCCGGCGATTCTTTGCATGAATTTCCTTCAAGAGAGGTTTTTTTTCTTGGTGACCAATAGTGGAATCCTCTCTTTCGAAAAAAGAGAAATTGTATTCTTGCAAACATTTATCCCACTTGATAGCAATTTTTTCGCAGTTCCGAGCGAGTCAGTGGAGTATTATTCTGTACTTTTCGAACTAAACTCTCAGCTGTTCGGTCAAAAATTTTTGTAGGACGCCCTGAACGAGGCACACTAGTCGAAAACTGGAATGATTTCCACCTCCGAACAGTATCACCAACTGTCGAAATTTGGATATTTGACACAGCTGAAATTTTTATATATCGCAAACCATCTCTGTGTAGCTGAATAATTGATTTCGAGTTGATTCAGACAATTTAGCATTTTTAGGCTCGGTTGTACAGCGTGAAACTTTGGTCAAGTTATAATGACGTTGCCATGCAAGTAATGAATAACTGCAGTTAGAAAAATATTTATGACGTTCTTTTGCATTCGAGAATTTTCCAACGTATTCTGGTTCTAGAATATTCTCCCGTATATAATGGATGAGAAATTATTGGCGAATAAAATTATTTTTTCTTTACGATGTGTTGGATACTTTTTAAATTTTGACTTATATAAAATTGCAATTATCACATTCTAAATTCAGTAATATTGTTGTTTTGATATGACCTTTTTATTTCCCATGTAAATTCATATTAGAATATTGTTTGTTTATGTTATTAAGTTGAATAAGATTCAAATAAATAGAGTTTTTCCTTTGTGTCGGATACTTTTTACACCCACTGTATGTTGCAGGAGATATATTCCAATTATAGAATTTCCTGAAGGGAGTTTCTCATATGTAATAATCACCGATCCCGACTAGTCCATTCACGACATGGCTAATTGAAAACACGAACAAGATGATAACCACCTACATGATATCAACTGATGCCATTCTGGTAAAGTTTAGCTCACATACCTCCTCTTCTGAAGAGGGAGTTGTCGTCTCCTTCGTTCTCCTTCATGTCTTTGATGTACTCGTCTATGAGGTCCCGGGGGTTGTCGGGGTCATAGTCCTCCAGGTGCTTGTCCACGGCTCCCTTTTAGTGGTGATAGGTTATTCATTGATTAACTATTACGTACGGTTGTATATGGAAGATGAGAGGTCGTTTCATTATTGCATCAGACAAAAGAAAGACAATCAAAATTCACAGAGCAAATCAACTTACATTCACGACTTTTTCAATTTCCTCTATGCATCTCTCGAGTTGGTCCTCCATGAAAATGAGATTCTTGACTGACTTTGGCAAATGATTCAAAGCAGGAATGAACATGGGTAAAAATGTAAGTGGTGAAAAGTTCTTCTGAAAGTCCTTGGTGATGCTGTAAATGGCTTTGACTTCGTCAGAACGCAGATCGTACCGAGTGCCTGCAATAGAACACAATTTTTTTTTGATAGGAAGCGGATTCGCTTACATCGTCCTTTAAGTTGATGTCATTTCTTTCGCCGGAATGATTACGCAAAAAATTAACAATAACAATTGCGAGAATCGGCTGAAGTCGATACGTTTTTTAATTTTGATTTGAAAAAAATATTGGAAATTAAATTTTAAATGGAGCTTTTAAATTTCAGCGGTGACAGTGAACTGTTTCTAAGTTAATTGGACTTCTGTGGAACATAATTTTTTGCGTCCATATTATTGAATTTATAGGTTATTCGAAGTTAAATACTCACTGGCCACCATCTGCCAGATGATGTTGAGCGCCACAGTCCTGAAGCTGTCGGGGTAGTTGATGGCTTCACCGCCGTACTTCTTGAGGTCTTCCACCAGCGCCTTGGCTTCGATGTTGATGGCTTCCTCCAGGTAACTCTTGCCCATACCTGAAAGTTTTTGTTTAAGGTAAGTCGCAATAACGCAGAGTGACACAAAATTCTTTTCGATCTAAATAACATGTTATCTAAAGTTGACTTATCTTCTCAAGGTTGGTCAGTCAAGGAACTAGACAACTGAGTTGATTTTTACTGTAAGATAATACCCCAAAAGCAATGATCCATTGTAATCAGGCTCTTAGCCAAGAAAAACCATAAATAGGAGAGGGAATTCTCGGCTCAAATGAACCTCGGCATGTGGGATTGCACGATTTCACGCAAGTACGATATTTTTTTCTGGCAGTTCACGGATGAAGATCGACTTTCCACACAAAGGAACAGTTCCTAAGAGTTCGCAAAGTTACAGGTAAACTTTGCGTGTCAGAAATAAGGAAACTTTGCGTCTGGAAACTTTGCGTGTCAGAAATAAAAAGTCATTTCCCGAGAATTCTTTCGTTTTTATTGTCGTAAGCGACGTTAAAATCCAATCGATTCCAGCATTCTTCAAGTTAGTTATTCGAGCACGAATTTGACGATGGAAAATTGTACTGAAATGGATCATTGAAAATGAGAAGATTCGTTAAAGGTCTCATGTATCAAAAATTGTTCATTCACGTAGAGCCCACCGAGGTTTCTTAGGTTGCGGAGCACAAAGCGGCGGTCGTGTTGCCAGTGGGCGCCGTTGCTGCTGAGCAAACCTGAAGAAGATTTAGCTTCTTTCAACGTCTCTGCTTTCAATTCAGATACTTATCGTATTCGTAATAGTCGTATCGACGGTCATTAGGTTGAATAAGACTTATCGCCGATTCGTGACATAGCAGAATTATTGCTTGGCTTTGAATCCAAACCTTCAATCTCACTTTTCTCAACCATTCGGCCACTTCGCCGATTTTGACCAGAACTGAAATAGGCAGCTGGAATAATATAGGTAACTCATTGCTACAATTCGGATGCTCTTAATTTTGTCACTCGGCCACACTGCCACGCACACTCGTAAAGCAAAAGCACTTTAACACCGTCATCCTCAATGACAAGTGAACTTTCGTTTACGCCGATAAATGCTCGTCAACAGGAGAATTCTCTATGCATAATATTAAAAAAATCTTAACAAATTTCTGATATTTTCTCTAAACTAAATTATCTCTCATCAAAAATTAAGTGGTGGTACCGATTAAAATTTTTTCGACTACAGTAGGGCCGAAATAAACGAATCACAATGTATTTTATGGTTATGGTGAAAGACTCAAGGACAGCACTTGGCTTTCACCTCCAACTTTTTGATCGTCCACGCTGAAGGCTGAGAAGAAGTCGGGGCGGTTGGAGAACTCAACTTTCGCCATGGCCTCCTTAGCAGTTTCGTAATCGAAGAGGTAAACCTTGCGAATGGACCCTGTGCGATGCCTGAAATATTCGGTAACATGTTATAACCTAATGTCTTTGCAACATTTGCAGGGTCTCTCTCATATCTTTGGCAATTTCAACTTTTAACAAACGTTTCAAGGCATATATGTAATTGCAAGAAATCTATTCTTATCCCAGCAAGAAATAAATGATAAAAAATTATCAGCAGCTTCTACGAAATCAATCTAACTCTTGACAGATTCCAAAGTTACAATCGAATCCGAAGTCTGTACACTTAATAACGTTGTAAAATTATGCAGTTTGACAACGGTCAAGTCCGAGATTAGGTGGATGTTGAAAATAATCTTTATGGCAGATTTATAATCCCAACTTTTACTTCTGCACGAATTGTGCATCGCTGTCATTGAAAAGTCCTATTCGAGTGGTGCAATCATTTCATTGAGTATATCTCTGGGTTAATGTTGAGTTTTTGTGTATTGCAGTACATTGGTCAACACTTACGAGACAATGTCACCGTAGATTTTTCGTAAACGTTCGCCACTTTCTTCATCGAGAATCGGAAGTCGTCCGAAAAATGGGATCTCCACTGGACCTGTATCAGAATTTTCATAATGTGAGATTCGTAAGGAATAAATATCTGGGAGAAAATGATCATTTTTTCATATTTAATAATCATAAATCATCACAGATGCTGTATGTAACGAGTTAATTCAATAACCATGAAATCAATAAAAATTACTTTAAATAATAACTTTTGCCTCAAAATATGAGGAGTTTCATGAAAATGGCATTTTAACGCAATTTGAGTTTAAATTTTATGGACTTACCAGGGGGGCAGTTGCGGGGGCGCCTGTCCCTCAGCACCGCGTACACCAACACTAACACAAACAACAACACAATCTCCACCCACATCTCTAGGTTTTATTTTCAGATAATAATATTAAATCAGATAAACTTTTAAAAATATTAGGATATAAACTGAAATGAAAAATTCCTTATCAATTAGTTTGCTTCCTTCGCTGTATTTTCGAGAAGTTAATAATTTTTCAACTTGCGAAACCTCACATAAATTCTATATTTTAACTCTACTAATTTTTAATTTAGGTAAGGTGCTTTCTGCCTCCTTAAGAGATGCTTGAGCGGCGCTCTGGCGCTATTAACTTCATCGGGCTACAATGTCATCTAGCGTAATAAAGCACGAAAAGTGTTAGGGTTTTGGACAACATAAATTTTTAATTATGGGATTTTTCGTTTGACAGAATAATTCGATCGTTCACGTCTGCTCGATAGGAACGCTATAGGTATAGTTATTGTTTGGGGTGCGGAGTCGTGACGGATGTACGTGTCCAGTGTTATTAGTGCAGGCTGTTGATGTGTGAAAGTTTTGTGTAAGCTCATAAACTATTGAGAATAGGTTCAATTCGTTTACTATTTTAAAATAAATTCATTGTATGTATCTTATCATTTTTAGTTATCCGTCAACTATCTATTGCATTTTATTGATTGGTTTATTGTTTATATATTTTCAGGAAAGTTTAGAGATTAAAACATGGAACATTGAATGTTACTATACAGTGGAGTTTTACCTCCTCTTGATCCGTCATCAATGATTGGTTTTGCAGGACGATTACGTGGCGGATATGATCGCTTTGATACTTGGGTCTAGTTGGATTTTTGGAGTGCGTTCGCAGCAAAGGAATATGAACAAAAGTGTAAATATGGATAAAGCAATTTAAGATTATTTAATTCAATTAATAATCAACCTATTCATCTGGCATGAACCTTATCCGTTGTGCGGAAATGTGGAAGAAGTTATTCATTTTCACAAGAGTGAACGAGGGCTGTCAACCCGCTTAACCGACCTCGCGACGAAATTTCTTGCCTTGTAGAATGTAAATGTGAGACAGAACATAGAATCTTGCTTGTCAAATAATTTTTTGAGAAAGTTACGACGAGAAGGTAAACTACATCCTCCGTTGTGTTGCGTTCTGTGAAGTTAGAAAGCTTTAAGAGGCCCGTATTCACAGTGCGGTTATAATTCACAACATTTATCCTGGATTATGGATTGAAGTGTGTATCCTTGATCATGTAGTCTTTGTAAGGCAATATCTGTTGCTATTCCGATTACGTTATTGCATCTAATAATATTACAATGGCGATTTTCAATTTGCCACTTCTCAATAGTGCATGGTGCCGCCTTGTAGAAAACTCTTTTACTAAATCGCACACTGCGTCACTACATCGCACACTGCGTCACTACATCGTACACTGCGTCACTATACATCGTACACTGCGTCACTACATCGTACACTGCGTCACTACATCGCACACTGTATCACTACATGGTGCCGAACACTACGCAGTGTTGCCAGTTGTAGCTGTTTTGTCTGCTGGCGACCTTGAAACATGCACAGAAAGCAAAGTAAGGAGATGACCATTTTCATTGTTAGGTTCATGAAGATTTACTATTCAAATATGAGCAAGTGACATGAATTAAAAGAAATTGATAGCATAATTTCAATATTAACGCTTAAATGCCGAGTTATTCCATATCTTGCTGAAATTTTAATATTCAGCAGCGTTTATTATGCCAAAGTAATGATATGCTGGTTTTAATCATTGTTAAAATTTTCAGACATTATTTTATTAGTTCAGGTGTGAAGTATGAGGAAAGTTTGACATGTTATCCATGATGCATTACCGTAGAGGAACGCTCATACTATGTACGTATGTGCAAGCTTCGCTCTGGGTTGCTTATTTGCTTAACTCTTAACAATCCGAGGAAGCGACTCAGAGGCCCAAGGCTGTACAGTTCATGTAGTTGTTCGATGATGAATGTTTGTACTTATTGATAATATTCTTCCTTATTCCTTTTAACAATTTTTCATCGTTAAATTAGTGGGAACTTATGATTTTTTTAAATAGTAGACTACTGATATCGATTAAGTTCAATAAAATTTCCGTCGTTGTAGGAAAGTGAACACAGCATCTACCCAATATGCGATAAACATGTTGATGATGACACAAGATTCTTTGCGGAGAATGCGTAATAAGATGAATTATCATGCGTAAAATAATTCGTTTTGAGATGATTGAGAGTTGGAAAGATTTTCACTAACAAAAAATCTATCCCGCAGACGCTCACTTAAAAAGTCAATGTGATATTAGTTGCGGTTCATAAATTATAAAACTTGCAATCGGGAAAATAAAATCGGTGACATATTTTCAAGGAGCGGATATAATCTTAAATTCTTAATTCACCATTGCCGGTCCGTCATTTATGACGATTTTTGCATGCAGCACGTAGCATGATAAGCAAATCTATCTCAATGCGGCTAAGTGCAATCCAAGGCCACGACACAACGCAGTCTCCAACAACACTGCACGGGTCACAGACATCAGTAAGAGCCAACGAGCGGGCTTATTCCTACACAACCACACTCAGGAAGTGCACGCAATACACTGATGACTGAACCGCCAACGCAGGGTTGTACTTCAAAATTAATTGTAGAAACAGCTGTTACGATTCTTCAACTGGCAAATGCAGCCTGATTCAATTTGTTTAAATTATTATTTTTTTATTATTTGGAATATTAAAAAAGCAAGGGGATTTTAATAAATTTCTGGCCAACTACGAAAAGTGACCAATAAGTCTTTTTTGAGAATTAGGGTATGCTGAGACCGCAACTGAGAATAAAAATAAAATATAATAATAGATACATGGCAATTGATAGCCCAACCTAGGCATCTGCTGACAATGGATATGTTTTAGACCCTTAGACCTTAGCAACTCAGACTTGAATTCTATGTCAGATTGCCGCAGAAGTTGGTCATGAACTTAAAGATACCAAACTTAAATAAACATCTACCATTCATCAACTTCCCTTCCGATTATGACGAGTCATTGACCATCTTATATACAAAGTAACAATAGTTTAAAGAAGTATTAGCATTTTTTGTACTGTGCCTCGGATTAGAAAATATGCGAACAACATTTACATTTTTTTCGGTTTTGTGAGAAGCTTGCGTGGCATACTTCTATTAAAAAATTTACGTTATGCATTTTCACTGAGGAACATTGGAGAGATAAGCTCATTATATGAATTTGAGGAGCATTGTTTGGAGTACCAGGTTTACGTGAATTGTTTACGGGAATAAAAGCCTCCTGAGGTCAAGACACAATTTAATAGACAGCGCATGAAGAATTTACGAACGTTTCTTGCTAGAACACCTATATTCCACCACATAAAAACTATTCTTTGTGTAATCAAACATGATAACATAATTACCGACAGAGCAACAATAGTTGCTCTGTCGACCGAGAGTTACCGACCGTACCCAACACGGTTCCAATTTTTTATAAAACTATCTCACACATAACGTCGCATTGAAAACGCGCACATTGTCTGCAAAAACCTGCAGAAAATCTGTTAAATCTAATTAATAATCAAAACATGTTTAATAAAATTAATACGTAATCGAAACCTGTTCAAAATAACATAATCAAACAAGGTCTCCACGTACAGCAACACTAAAGCGGCTCTTACCACATTTTTCACTTTGAACGTTACGTCGATTATGCTTTATTTAGATGCCAATAAGCTTCTGAATTGGAACGTTTCATTCACTCAGTATCGAGTGCCCACTAATATAGTACGAGCCTCTGCATGGCGCGTAATTGAGTGGTATTGAAAGAAATATTCTACAATACGATTTTCTAGATTTATTCATTGGAGCTGGAAAAATTCGCGCTATATTAAATTTGCGACCACAGTTTTACACAATGTATAACTTTATACAGAGACGATAGAGTTGTCAATTTTTTCTTAAATGCTAATTTTTTTCTCGGCCGATTCAATTATCGCGATGTCTGTACCTAACCATGTGGGGTTTGGCAGAGGTTTGTGAAATGTTAGTTTCTTGGTCTGTAGATTAGCTTGTTGTCTGCCGGCGTGCGAAGACCTCCCAAATTCACTATGTCTTTTTGGCTGAGGACCACGCCCTTTGGAGGAATGACGTCGAAGTGCTGGATGATGGCGGCAGTGAAGAGGAACAGCTCCATGCGGGCCAGCAGCTCCCCAGCGCACGGACGTCGACCTGGCGGATGCACTTTGCTTAGTTCAAATAATTTCATTATTTAAAGATCCAAAGTAACAAATGGGGAACATCAATGAAATTTCGAAAGGTTGTTGTAAAACTTTTCTTGAATAGAAAACTTCTAGAATTATTTCAGTTGTAGAGCGGCAACAACGAAAATATTTTTTGGGACACCTGATTCATCGGTTCCATGAATGTATGAATGTGTAGTCGGCAGTTTTTGTCATGAAACTTGCACGCGTTACCACAGAATCCAATTCCAACCAATCTTTTGCAGGCTAGTTGTCCCGATCATCAAACGTAGAATTCATCGTCTCGCTAGTGTAAACAAATCTGAATTTTGAAAGTTTTTACACACCTGTATTATAGAATTAATTTCGAAGGCTACAAATCCTCACCTGAACCGAAGGCGAAGAAGCCGATGTTTGGAGCAGTGTACTTGGTGGCGCTGTCGTCCAGGAATCGTTCAGGGTAGAACTTGTGGGGGTCGTCCCAGTACCGCGGGTCGTGGTGGATAGAATAGTTGCCTACCTGAATCATAGTGCCCTGAAATCCAATATAAAAATAGATATCTTCTGTAAGGTGTCGCTGTAAAAGCCGTCAATAAGATTAAGGGCACAATGAGCTTCCATTCACACGTTCTTTTCACTATATGCTGCAGTAACATCTTCAAAATCGTGAAATCTAGGCTGCTTCACGATCATCCGTCTCTCTTATTTGTCTCTTTCATATCATTTGATGATCATTTGATAAACTGGAATTTAAGTAGTCCCCGTATTAGGGCGCGTTAATCAGTCGCACTATACGTCAACTTCGGCTGGGCTGGAAGTGCAGCATTTTAGCAGCTTGCAAGCTCCATGATGCGGCTTCAAGCAACACCTGTCTCACGCTCAGGATTCTATAAAATCGGAAAGTATATTCGAACTGAGGCTATTTCGTTTATTTTTTCCTGGCAGACACAGAATAACTCCAAGGCGAGTGTAGCGACTCCTGGGGGGAAGTTTATGAGTTACCCATTTTTATTTTTGAATTTGGGCACACAGCTAGGAGTCTGGTGCAGAACTCAAATCCTCAGGTACAAAAAGTTGTGAACTATAACAACGAAATTGTAATAGTTGTTGTTGTAACCATGTCAATTGTAACAATAGTTGTTGTAACCATGTCAGGAGGCTGGTCTGAAATAGCCAAACCTGACATTGGAGATTTTCCACAAAGATCAACGGAATACTGCAAGAAACTGCATTTGCTTGTGAAAATGACCGTTATTAGTCTGTTAAATTAATGTTATAAGACCCATGTCAGTCTTGGGCTATTATAAGGCTAACCTTGGGGATGAAGTAGCCGTTGATGGTTGTATCTCGATGAGCTGACCTCTGAGCGTTGTACACCGCCAAGGACGAGTATCGCAAAGCTTCAACGGTGAATGCTTCTACCAATGGCAAGCTAGATATAAAATGAGTTGTCATTACACAAGGTTGGTTTCAAAGTCGCATGTGCGTGAATATGACTCGATTCAAGTTTTCCTTTGGAATTTTTTTTTCATCAAGAAAGGATCTATCAATTAACTAGTCATACAAAATGAAAATTATTGGTGGAGCACCGATGGTTATTGGTGGCCATAGGTGGAAATTGTTCGTGGAGCACCGATGGCGCACGGATGGCGTGTCCGGTCTATGTTCCACCTAATTAATACCTGCCAATGGCACCCTACCAAAAAAATTCATCTTCCACCAGTGACTAGCCATTGGCACCGATGGGGCATTGATGAGACCTATCCACATCAAACATTTACTAATATTACTTCCTATATACGATCACAAATTCCCAGGATTAAGCTTGTATATTTATCATTGCAGTTTGAGCAACAATGTCAGAAAAGCAGCAGGAACTTATTATCAAAGTATCATACATATATTTCGTGAGAACCCAACTTGAAGAAAAGTCACTGCCTGCTGGCATCGAGCCCGCGGGTCTGCATGTCGCGTGTGAACCGAAGCCTCTACCGTTGAGCCATGGGTGAGGTCTTGGCGCACGCATCTTTCTGAGAGGCTTAATTGAAGTATTGCAGAATTAATCTCTCCTAGTAGACAATGCCACTATTATGATAGTTAGAGGCGTTGCATTAACCACTGTTCATTTGAACATGTTGCTTTGTTTGAATGAACGGCCGCCGAAGGATATTTCGTTTAGCAAAATGAACCAATGCTTGGCTCCGGGATTAAACAGCTACATGTAAATGCATGTAAAGATTTGAAGTTTCTTCCTTAAGCATTAGCTCAGTTATGAAAGAGAAAGAGTTTGATATTGATATTTATAAGCGTGAAATACTTTCACCATCCAGTGTCAAAATTTCAAAATTTTTCTCTATCCTAATCTATTATTTCTGGCATAGGAAGGATACCGAAAGTACTTGCTAAAAGATGCAAACTGCAACTCAAGACAAATATCTGACAGGATAAGCTAAGATTTCGACAGGCGAACCAACCGAGAAGCATTTACATCAACCAGGCCTGGCAGGGATGTGGAAGAAACAACCTCAACGTGTGATCAGGTGTGAACGTTTACACTCCTGAATTAAATGTATGCCATCCACGATGTCAACGAGTCTTTAGATAAATGCGAGAACTTAAGAAAATGATAGATATAATGAAATAGGCTTGATCGATCAATACAATTTATACCAAATGATACCATAAATAGGACCCAACAGATCGCAACATTTCAAACACAGCAAGCTGGTGCACATGAAAATTCGCACCAAATCAGGCAATTGATCTTTCTTCGAAAAATGAATCCGATTTATCTCTTCGGCATAAACATTATTCATCTATATGATTAGTGCTTCCACGATAATCTCATGGATATCGTGTGAGAAACCATGAGATTATCATGTTTTCTTTTTGAACTCAAATGACCTGCAACTAACTGCGCAGATTAGATAAACGGTTATTTAGATTTAGAAGAGATTTACGAGCGACGCACCGTCGATGATTCAAAACCTAAAAATCATCGATGGTTATAGGGGTACTCATCTCCCTCTCATTTTATTGATGTTTTACCGTCGATTTTTGGCAGACGCGGACACCCATCCTTACGCCGCATATAATCCACCACATCCACCTATTATCATCGGTGCGCCACCTTTAATTTTTATTTGTGATCTATACGTTGACAATTTTAATATTTTATTTTTTGAGATGTGAAACAACCAACTTGTCCAGAAGCTTCCAACAAAAATAAACCTGGACTGAGATTGGAGAGATTAAGGGCACAATAATACCTAATTTACATTAAAGTAAATCAAGTATTAGTGAACTTAAAGTATACAAAATTTTTATCCAGTACCTTTTTTGTAACTGATGTCCCACAGCCCTCCTAGGCAAGAGTGCAGGATAGCACCAAACGTATTAACTAGATGAAATGAATACGGTACCTCGGTTTGTAATCGAGCGACACCATGCGGTCCCTGGGCACAACGGCGTCTATTTGCTGCTGCATCCTCGTTGCGTACTCTGGATACCGGGCGAGCAGGTAGGTCACCCACTTCAACATGTTGTACACAGTGTCCGAGCCCGCGCCGAAGAGGTCGTTGACGATTTGGTTCAAAGCTGGAATGAGCAAAGACGCATGATAGGCCTCGTAAATACGATCTTGAGATCGAGATGTAACATATTTCAATAAGTTAACAATTACAAAATTTAAATGAGATGGTTTTCTTCAACATGAATTACACAGATCCGAATTAGTCGAGTTCCTTCTGAACAATAACTATTGGCAAAACAGCCATGTATACCTACTTAACATTGGAAATCTCGGTCAAATTGAAATCTTTTACCTCCCCTCCTGAAAAGAGAGTTGTCGTCGCCTTCGTTCTCCTTCATGTCTTTGATGTACTCGTCTATGAGGTCCCGGGGGTTGTCGGGGTCATAGTCCTCCAGGTGCTTGTCCACGGCTTCCTACCAGAGGTAAGAAGATCCATTTATTTTGCATGACATTAATAAACTTCATTGGCGATTGTTGAAAATGAGTTGTAGTTCTTGAATACGTTTGCAAATATTTAGGCCTTGGATTCTCAGGTTCAATGTTTCATGTTTAGGTTAATTCACTTCACACAGAAGGGCTTAAGTGTAAAAACAGACACGAGAAAAATATCAGACACGATAGTGATACACTTTGAACTGTCATCAATTATTATCAGCAAAATTACTTACGTTCACGACATTCTTCATTTCTTCCACAAAGCGATCAAAAATATCATCTTTAAACAAATAATTCTTGATGGATTTAGGCAGATGATCTAATGCCGGAATGAACGAGGGTAATAACATCAACGGGGTAAAATTTTCACGAAATTCATTGGTCATGCGATAAATTGTTTCAACTTCTTTGGAGCGAAGATCGTACCGAGTACCTGGAAGAAGACATAAATCAATATGAATTCCGCTTTGACCTGCGACTTTAGGGTGAAGCAGTTAGAATTTGATACTCTTCCTCAAGAGATGGATAGTTTAGACATCATGTCATACACTTTTTGAACGGAAAATATCATTTGCTTCATTCATGTGCCAGGAATCTACGAAAAGTTTGGGTAAATTTCGATTAAAACAGAAATTAAAGACTTACTAGCTACCATCTGCCAGATGATGTTGAGCGCCACAGTCCTGAAGCTGTCGGGGTAGTTGATGGCTTCACCGCCGTACTTCTTGAGGTCTTCCACCAGCGCTTTGCCTTCGATATTAATTGCTTCCTCTAGGTGATTCTTACCCATTCCTTGAAGTGGAGTAATCCATATATATGTATTTGTAATCAAGAAAAAACAATTTTTACTCATCCCAAAACGCATAAAAGGAAGAATATAACTTCACTTCGTCCGCCATTGAGCTATACAATCAATATAGTACCACGCCATTCGAAATTCTCGATATTGAATCATAAATAATTGCAGCCAGCAGGTTTGTCGCATTAATTTATTTTAAAAATGTTTAATGGCATCCGAATCCGAACACTATCTATTAGAGAAAACGCAGGTCTGACAAAGTTGGAGACAAATGTAGTACAACTTACAGATCAAGGTGATTCTCTGCTCCGACTGGGAAGGTAAGATTGAATGAAAGTGAGAAATTGGACAACCAAACGCAACCTATATCGAGCCTACCTACCTATTCTTCCTGCGCACAAAAATTATCGCCTTACCAAATATCTTCCAAAAATTATCTCCATTTCTCAAAGTGCAAGTGATTTTTTCCTTAAATTTACACCCTTTATTCCTGTACTATTGATAACGTTTCAAATGAGACCCGAATTCAGATTTTACATGGTAGTTCAGTATGAGAATTGAATTAGAGTTTGTAGTTAATTATTGCAGTTCTATTCATGAATTGAATTCCATCTATTTCGTATATGGTACTGTGCTCTAAATTTGTGAGATAATAAATCTTATAAATTTTACCAAGGTTGCGCAGGTTGCGTAGCACAAAACGGCGGTCGTGCTGCCAGTGCACACCGTTGCTGCTAATAACACCTGGTGGAAGTAAATAGCAGCCCATTAAAGTATCTAGCATGCATTTACATCAATTCGAATGAGACTTTTAAATGTTGCTTTCACCTATAATATCTTAACATAAATGGAACTAAACATTTGCGATGAAAATATAACATGAAATGAAGTATATTGAAATCGAACCCGTCGAAGGTCTTGCCGCAACAAATCGGCGCTGAAGCAGGATGCATTTCAGCCGTCAATCTCCAAGGTCTCTGTTACTCAGTGCTTATTTAGGGAACCGACAAGCGAATGTTGGGAATGAAAATTTCAGACGAACACAAAAATATAATATTAAGTAAAGCTATACGAGCTAAGTTATCTATCGTGTTCACCTCCAAGTTTTTGATCGTCCAAGCTGAAAGTGGTGAAGAAATCTGGGCGGTCGGCGAACTCCAGTCGTGCCATGGCCTCCTTGGCGGTGTCGTAGTCGAACAGGAACACCGAGCGTATAGTCCCAGTGCGATACCTGCGAGGTTGAGGAATACATGATGAAGATATGACGAATATTTGCAGTATGGAATCCGGACAATCAGTTTTCAGATTCTCGAATGCTGACTTTATGAGAACCGTAGAATTACCATCAAAAAGATTTAAAATAAAAGTATTCTATTCTTATTTGCACTTACATTGATTATTAAAAGTTTAGTTTAGCTCGCTAGACAAACACATGGGCCTATGAGAATTTCGGCCCGTTTAGGATTTACTAGAGCAATACCTTCAATCTTACGTGATTTGCAAACTCATGCTTTATTCCAGTCATATTTATTGCCCTCTCATGAGTCGGTAACATTACTGGCGTAAATTTAATCTCTATGATAATGATGTCATTATGATTAACGATTATCCCATGATCACTATGCGAGTATAAAAAAAAATTTTGATACTAACATGACAATATTACCGTAGTTTTTTCGTAGATTTTCGCCCGTTTCTTCATCGAAAAATGGCAGTCGTCCAAAAAATGGGATCTCCGCCGGACCTGCAATATTAGTTTCTATCGTAGTTATCAGCCTCACATATCAAAGGGTACTCTTAGAGCACTTGAATAATTCATTGCATTCATTTCAAATAAATGATGAAGTCCAGGAACTTACCTGACCATTGTAATAAACAATTAGACGAATAGCAGACATAAAGTAAGTTTTTTCTAATAAAATTTTAGTTTTATAAATATTCATCAATCACCAAGTGAATTTCCGCTGAAAAACTCACCAGGCGGGCAGTTGCGAGGGCGCCTGTCCCTCAGTACCGCGTACACCAACACCAACACAAACAACAACACAATCTCCACCCACATCTCGTCTTATATCCTGCAATATCTCTGATAAATTTAGTATTCTTCTATCAATTTGTATTTAAAGAAATGAATATATGATCTAACTGTCGCTTTGTTAAAAATTAGCGAGAAGTCATATATTGCTTGAAATCATTTAAAACATTACTTATACCACAGAATGATTGCGTCAATTTCATTTGCTCTTCTAGTTATTTCATGACATTTTACAATGTTGATAAGAGTATTCTTTAGAATCGGGATTTAGACCTAGCAGATTAACCATAAGATGGCTTGGAAAGCAATGCAAATGATTGAAACACTTAGAAACACAATTTTCTGAAGCACAGAGCAACGTTACAAACGTTACCGCCTGTTGCAGTGCAACATCAGAAGCGAGTGCTGCGTTAGAGTCCAGAACCTGAGACATTAGCAATGAACAATCTGAGGTCTAGATAAACCTTTTATCATGTGCAAGTTTGAAGAATTCAAGATAAAAACAGCTATAATTGAACGAATCACGACTTATTTGGTAAAACTCATGAGGCCCGATAACTTGTTTATGCTGGCAGTCTCATTCAGTGGAGTGTTTACTGCCTGATAGGCTATCTGCGAGATAGAAACATGATGAAGTCATGCGAGAATCACGCAGAACAACCACCGAATTTATTTACCATATATGGCCAGTCTTGAGCGAGTCAAAAAGATAGGTGTGGGACGAAGGGAGAACCGCTAATGTATCAGTAAAATATCGCCTGCTGAATAGTTTAAATTTTAAAGCAGTGATTCCTAAACTATATGGTACCGTACGACACTGATGGTACACATGAGCCCTTGGGCAATGAACGATATAGTTTTTGTTTGAGTAGTATTTTTTGCCTTGAGAAAATTGAAGAATGAGCGTCGCGTTGCTCCAAACGGACCAATTTCAATCAAACAGTACACCAACTATTTTCTCAAATTATTTTGTCATAAAGTATTATTAAATTCAAAATGATATTACATGCTTGTGGCTAATATTAATACTGCTACTCCCGATGTTAGAAGGAAAGATAACATCGGGAATGTTTTTGATACTCGATACTAGCATTTTTATATCGACGGTCGAAAGCGCTATAAATTGAATACTTGAACAAAACCGGGTCCGTTTTCAAATGTTCGATTTTGGGCAGATGCGGTCGATTAATAAATTCTCTCTCACAGAAATCCTCTCTTTTCACACTAAGCACGTAAGTAATAGGCGAAAAATATCAGAACGAAGTTGCTGTCCCACGGTATATCTTTTCACCCTGCGGTCCCTGGGCACGACAGCGTCTATTTGCTGCTGCATCCTCGTTGCGTACTCTGGATACCGGGCGAGCAGGTAGGCCATCCACTTCAACATGTACACCGTGTCCAAGCCCGCGCCGATCATGTCGCTGTGATCTGTTTCAGCACTGCGCGATAAATTGGTGTGAGCAGGTGAAATTTAACAGGTTATAAGGGAAAAATATATTGTGACATAATGAATTTGTTTTTTGTTATCTCTAATGAGTTGACTAATAGTTGAAGTCATAATTTGTTTTCTGGCAAACAGTTATATATTTAAACGATAAAATTGGACATGTTTACTGAACTTTAATACTGGAATATTTTGGATATAACTGCTAAGGATCAAATATTGTTTAAAGGTCGTTTAAGCGGTGCTCATTAAACGACCATTGTATTGTAGTCATCATTGTAGTAGTATAGAAAGTGAGCCTATGACAACAGTTTGCATAATCGGCTTGCCTTAAATCATAGGTTGCCGATCATTTACCCACAATCTTACCCCGAATCTTGACTATAAAAATTTACCAGTTACCCATGAATAAAAAGTGGTCATGTACCCACAATTTTATTTCGAATATTGGCCATCAAAAATTTGAGCACTTTCTTCCGACCAAAAACCTGACCATTTACCCACAATCTTACTCCGAATCTTGACCATCAAATTTTTGTAAACAATCATTTACCCACGGTCGACCATGCACTCTTTTAACCGAGAACTTGAGTGAGTGTTTTGATTTACAATACTTCTTTGGGATGTGTAATTGATTTAAATTTTTGAAATACTTTCCACAACCAGGGTGCTCATCCTTATTTATCAACACAAAGCTATAAGGCACTTCATCCGTTCCATTACACAGTTCTTGAAACTCAGCATAGGGCATATCACAAGCAATGTAATAACTGTGAATATTCTTCATATCGGTGAAAGGTAACTCGAATAGAATTAGTAAATTTCAATTCGTTCTAATGGTTTGTCTTGACAATATGTGATAGTTTTGGGATGAGTAAATTGAACTACAGTTATTATATCTTCCACTGGTGTAAAAACTATCAGCAGGATTTTGATTCTTTTCCGTAGTAATATCAAAAATGAACAAATTCTTGTTCCTAGTATCTATTTCACTGGGATCAGGTACAGGAGCCGTATTTTAAAAACATACGATTGCACATTTTTGTTGACGTCTTTTAGGTAAGTTTTCAAGATATTGATCATCATTGCCATTGCCGCCGGAAATTAAATAAATGATTTCAAATTTAGTATATCCCTTATCGAAAGCGTTCTTCAACAGCATATATGCATCGGATAGGTGCGCATCGTACGCACGTTCCAACTTGAGATTCGAAGTGATGGAGACTCCATCTGCGAATGTCGGACTATCATCTCTCCCACTGTCGATCGAGACAGCCCGTGGCGTCAACTCTGCGCCAATTGAGCGGGGACTTATAATACCGTTGTGCTCTCACAGTAGTGAGAGAGAAACGACCTTTCCAGATCGCAGGCCTGGGGCCGTATTATCAAAAGTTCGTAAGAACGCAAAATCGACTTACGAGAGGCGTAAGTGCTGACTTGATGACGTAACTCTAGAGGTGGTATTATCAAAACATTTGCGCGGGAAGATACGTAACGTAACTGTACGCCTGCTCGGAGATGTCGTAAGTGGAGTTCCACACAAGTTTAGAGTGTCTGCTGAAGCAATAGGAAACTATTGATTTACTAGCAAGTAGCAACACCGTGATTTGTGATAGAATTTTGTCAATAATCAGACAGCGCGGATTATACACGCATAGAATGATGGCTCTACTTGTGATGGCTCCACTACTTGATCGTGCAACATTTGCACGATCAAAATATGTGATCGTGCTAAGCAGTGCTATTGGGAAAAAATTCAATTCATTTTTTCAAAAATGTTTTCATTCATTTTTCAACAATTCAATTCATTCATTCCTTCTAGTCGGTACGTACTTTATATCTTTGCTAACCATAATTTTTAGCTCCGTACACAGATTTCTTCTTCAACTCACGCTGTTAATAAAAAAGAGTTCACAACTATTTTAGAACGGCTTTTTCTGGGCCAACAAGGAGCAATACCGACAGACAGCATTCGATAGTCGATACCATCGAAGGCATCGATTCCCGCCATCGAAGTTCACAGAATGTAAACAAATCCAAAGCCTCTGATTGGTCAGTTGGCCAGATGGTTTTGATAGTACGCTTTTAGCTAAGTCTTACGTACGAATGTTTTGATAATGCCAAAATTAGGGTATACTTACGTAACACGTAACTTTTTTGTCGGAAGTACAAAAAGTTACGAAGTTTTGATAATGCGGCCCCTGGGCGGCAGCATGGAGATCATGCGCTGCCCAAACAACAGGATCTCCTCCTCAGTCGTTCCGACTGCGTCCAAGAGAATACAAGCATTTCATTTGGAGCCGACTTAACTGCAGGAGTTCACGGGAGGACGTCTTAGTTGACAGCCAGCCGACTTAGGGACTCCAACTCCGGATTTTTTCGCCGATGTTTTCTCCTGAAGCCTTTCCTTATGTGGGTGTAGCCGCAAGGCAGCGGAGGTTTGAAATTTTCAGCTTCAAAGTACTGAAAGCCAGTACCTGAAGGACCACCTAGATGTGTTATGGGTGTACTATTAATTCCTTTTCCAAATCTATCAACACCAGTCATTAAAAAAAAAATTTTTCCAGAGCCTACAGAATCTCCCGAACTCTAGAAGCTACAAGATACGATCAGTTAACATTTGGCTAAGTTTTATGTTTTTATCGGTTCATTTTATAGCATAAATTTAAGTTGATTAATTTCATTCTGATTTGATAAAATATCTACATATAAATGTTTTAACGTCCTTTCAATATTAGCGCTCAAATGCTGAGTAATTCCATATTATGCTGAAATTTTTATATTCAGCAGTGTTTATTATGCCACAGCAATGAAATGCAGATTTTAGTCATTGCTAAATATTTCAGGCATTATTTTGTTTAGTTCAGGTGTGAAGTACGTGGGAAGTTTGACATGTCACCCACTACTGAAGAGGGACGTACATAATTGCGTACGTATGTGCAAGCTTAGCTCTGGGTTGCTTATTTGCTTAACTCTTAACAATCCGAGGCAGCGACTCAAGAGGCCCAAGGCTCCTGTACGGTTCATGTTGTTGTTCGATGATGAATGTTTGTACATGTTGATAAAGTTCTTTCTTATTCCTTTTAACGATTTTTCATCGTTAAATTAATGGGAACTTATGATTGTTCTAAATATTAGACTACTGATATCAATTAAGTTCAATAAAATTTCGAGTATTTCCGTCGTTGTAGTAAAGTGAACACAGCTTCTACCCAATATGCGATAAACATGTTGATGATGGCACAAGATTCTTTGCGGAGAATGC